ACACACACACACACACACACACACACACACACACACACACACACACACACACACACACACACACACACAGGATTTAGCCCGCTGATCCGTCACACATGAACACGATAATACTTCGGGTCTACTCTTACCTGGAACGACTCCATTAGTCGCAATGGCACTCATGGAGATGGCTGTGAGCATGGTCTAAAAAAGCAAACAAAAAATAAAAACTGAGGAGGATTACAGCACAGCATGTGGGAGAGCCAAATTTAAACAAGCCTGAAAGTAAGTTAGTGACAACATGAAAAAACTGAGTAAAAGAATAACATCCAGCAGCCTGGCTTATTTGGAAATGTTAAACTTATCACTGGAGGGGTAAAAGGCGAGGCTCATATCCTCATGATGCTGTCAGCTGTAAGATCTGCAGTCAAATATTATTTGCTATATTTATGTTACTTAGTATTTACTTACTTAGTATTTAGACATTTGAGAGAGAAACCTTTTCTTTTAACATTGAAGGCATTTGTAATAGAGACTTTTTTGCTGTGATGTGACATGAGACATTCACACGGAGTTGAAGTCTGCTGGCGTGACCTTTCAGTCAACTGTTTTGAGGCTTTAGGGCAGCAAGTTGCTAAATGTTTTTTAAAAACACTTTGTTTCTACTTGCATTAAAAAACATTCTGTTTAGAGATTTTATGTGGCTTATTCATTTAGCTCATTTAGCTTCATTTATTCATTTAGCTTTGACTATTAATAACTCTCCCCACTATTTAATTTATCTGCAGGGTTACACACCGTAGAGCAACACATGAAGACGATGATGAAGGAGCCGAAGACGCCTCCGATCCCAACCATCCAGGTCATCCGCAGGAAGAGGATCACCCCAAAAATATTCTGGATACACGGCAAGTACACGCCCATCAGCGTACCCAGTTGAGGTGCCTGGGAAACACAAAACACAATTTGTATTCCAAAAAACCAATTTGAATTTGTATACGGTAACTTACAGTAAATTTATAGGGGAAAAAGACTTCTATTCTGTAGTAGAAGACAGTCAGCTTCCCATCCAGGAATAAGTCCAATTGTTTCAATCCTACATTTTTTACAGTCATTATTTATTTTCAGACCTTAAAGGGGCAATATCATGTAAGATAAACTTTTTTGAGTTTTATATCATGTTGTAATGTTATACTCATAAAAAACATGCCCATAGCCTTACTTGGACTCATTCATGCATGTTTGAGAAATCCTGCAGTGTTTTAAGGAAGCCATGCTGAGGAGCAAAACGACAGGTGGGGACCAGAAACGCCTCTGGGATGTGTCTTTAAGCCGAGCTTCCTCGTCACGGAGCACACCTCCCCATCCCCCACCCCACACACCCCGCCCATGACTCCTGCAGGCTCTCTGTAGTAACAAAGCAAATGAGTGAAAATGAAAGTGAAACTGAAACTGTCTGCTGAGGTCCTAACACTAGTTCTCACTCAGTGAAGCTCTTTTCAGATTCAAAATACCTTTGAGGAAATGTATTTTCAGATGCCAAGTAAACTGCATCATAGCGCACGCGAGCCCCCACCCCCTCCCGCGTGCGGAACCCCCCCCGCACTGAAATGGGCAGGACGGAAGCAGAAGGATGTTCTTAAAGTGACAGAGGCCAATTTCAAGGCGTTTGGAAGAGGAAGTGATGAGAAGATAAGTTTATTTTCTATTTAAACATAAAAAACTAGCATTTTAATAACAACTAAATGTGACATAGATACTTTATTATGGTACAGTATTTAAATATATGCCTGAGAAACACATAATACTGTATTGCCCCTTTAATAATTATTTTAGTCTGTATTCACTGTCCTGTCTAAATCTATTAACAACCTGTCTGTAAGTGTTTTTATGATGTTAAAAATCACTTATTTGTCCTAATTTTTGTCTAATGTAATCTAGTGTAATTTTGAATGATAAAGAAGTTTACATATCAGACAATTTGCATATTGAAGCATCATGTAGTTTGTTCAGTAATCAAAGAGTGATACTTCATACTGTTTGTGCATTTTGATCTGTACCATTTGTTGTCTTTAGTTTTGACAGAACTGACCTCTAAAGCCTTCTACTGAACCCAGGCTGTGGTTTTCTAAAGATGTTCATACTGAGGGATTTATTTTACATTATTTGAACTGAGCAACAAAAACTACTTAGATGATCTCTCTCTTCAGGACTTTCAGCACACAGCAGAGGAGTTTGGGTAAAAACAAAGCATCTCCACATGAGCGACTATCTGGTAGTTTAAAATCTTCAAGCTTCTGAATGAGTTTTGAGAAAATGTGTCAGGATCTGTGTTTTTGTTGTGATTTCTGTGTTTATTTTATTTCCTGGGTGGTTTTTTTTCCAGTTCCCCTGTATTCCGCAGTTCAGCTCCTGTTCCTGTTGTTGTGACTTTTAGGAGCATTCACTGTAAATCGCTGACTTTAATTGTCAGAGTTGATAAATATTGTGTGCACTGACCTATTTCTCCTATAACCTTTAGTTTCATGCCTACACTTTGACAGAGTAAAGTGAAAATAATGGATATGTCTGAGGTGCCTGACCACATATCATCTTTTAAATTTGTCTAGGTTTTCACAAATCAGCATGTAGTGTGCTGGTCATTAACCCATTCACACAAACACTCCTGCAGTGTTGTACCTTGACAGGTTTTTTAGAGGGGCGCGCTCCCTCCTCATTATTCTCAGCCTCCTCGTGCTCTTTGCTTCCAGTGGGCAGGTTCGAGTAGTTGGCCAGGGTGCTGAGCAGAGAGGAAACCATTGGACTCGTATCGATCTCCTCCTGCAGCACAGAAATACACATGAAAAATTAATTACATACATTTACTGTATACTACCTTTGATGCATACACACACATTCACATATCTGGCCTTATAACACTGGTGAAAACCCATTTGACACCAAATACCAGTGTTGATTACTGAGCAGTGTCCCCACCTCGAACAGAGCCATGCTCTTGTTCTCGTACTGTTGACTCTTTTCCACATCAGTGACTGCAGTGCTGTTGATGAAAGGGCAACTCTCTTTGGGGTTTCCATCGCCTGGAAGAAACAAACACCAATCAGCAAGTGTGAAAACACTCTAATGGAACCATATGTTTTGCTGACTTAATGGTAAAGACACTTCAGGTGTTTGGTAACATCATCAGCAATGATTTTTAAAAAAGTGACTCTGTACTCATTAGGTCTGGGAACTTGTAGTCAGTCATTTCAGAGTGAGAAACTTTATTTCCAAGTTCAAATAGGGTTTTTATTTGTGTGGTAGCTTTTATGATTCTCCATTCACGTCTTCAATAAGCTTGTCTTTCATAATCTTATCATAAAGATTTACCAGCGTTTCAGTATACCACATTGTCTTAGCAAGGCCAACTTCCCTTTATGCAAAGGTTCTCACTAAGTGTCCTTACATAATACACTGTTAAGGACTTTAACACAAAAAGCTTCAACTTTACACCCATAAAGATCCTGAAATGATTGAACATTCACTGTAGCACATACTAATCTGATGTCAAAGTGTGTGTGAGTGTGTGAGAGGGATAAAAAGTGAGAGATGCACCTCTGATGGGGCTTTATGGATCACTGCTATGATGCGTTATCTCTTTTCCTGGCAAAATCTGTAAAACCCTTTTGTTTTGTTTGTTTGATTTAGAGAATTAGTTTATCTCTAAACGGAGTCTCGACTGCCTTGACATCATGAAACGTCAATAATACACCAACTCAGGGGAGGTATTAATCGACTACATCTACAATTTAAGGTGTAGAAAGGTACAGGTGGGGACTGATCAAAAGTTTTTGACTCATAAATGAGGACGTTACTGCATTTGTGTACACAAATGAACACATGGGCCTGCTTCTTTTTGAGGTTAATTTGACTCAAATTGCTGATATTTAGGAATAACTACAACCAGCTGAAAGCAATGTCCTGAAGCCTCTCAATAACCCAGGAAGTAAAACCTAATAAGGTTGAGTCAGTTCCTCTGGATTGCCCTGAAGCAATGTGGATATCCTAACTAGTAGACAAGAAACCAGAACAGGATTCCAGCCAACCAACCAGTGCAAAGGAGGACCCAAAACCCAGACCCGTGGTCACTTTGTACGTTGTGAGAGTTTCAGAGAAACCCAGATGTTTATTCTCTAAACATGACATCCAAGTACCTTTCAAACCCCAGAACACATCACTGCAAAGACTGGTTCACCCTAAAGATCTGGTCCCCTGGCAGAGTAATGTTGTGTATGCTGTTAAGTGTCAGGAGGACTGTGACCAGTTATACATCAGGGAAACAAAGCATCCATTGTTCAAAAGGATGGGCCAACACAGAAGAGAAACATCATCAGGCCGGGACTCGGCAATTTACAGTCATCTACAGGCCAGTGGCCACTCTTACAGGAATGAAGATGTTTTCATTCTTGATTGGGAGAAGACCAAAGAAAGCCATCTTTGTGAAGAGTAACTGCCCGTTGTTAAACGGATGGAGGCCTCTGTGTCCTCTTCTTACAATGCTGCTACTGCAAGTATCACTCAGCCTTCTGTGAACAATAAGCAACCATCAGGTCACTATTGATTGGTCATTTGGCTGATGGCCTCCGTTCACATGTGAACAACAAGTTTTGGGCGTCACAAGTAAACTGGTTGATCCACTATGCAGAGGTACTGCTTATAAGACTGTTTACCTGCAACTCCTCAGCCTTAGGAAGTCTCTTGGAGAAGAGATGAAATGTTTCAACAAAGAACCTGTCCAGATGACCTGACTCAACCTTGTTAGACAACTGGACAACAAACATTCATCGTTCAGTCCCATTGATAAGGCTTTACAAACAGGCTGTATGCTTCCTCCCTCTTGTCAGATGTAATCATATGAATCTCTTCATGCCTTAGATTTTCTGCAAAACAAACTAAATAAATAAGCTGTGGAAGACCTAAAGTTACAATCATTCACATGCCTGAGGATGCACATTCTATAAAAAAACAGCATCCATACAAAGCCTAATTCCTGACAATATATTAGGATTAAAGTTTTTCGTGTCTGTCTGGACAGTAATCCTGCTCAGGTAGGAGTCAGTTGTTTCGGCTGTTCGCTCCTCTTTTCATAAATCCTTTTTGCTCAGAATGAAAGAATCAGATCTCCATGTGAGCGGTGGAAAACTTCTTCCTCCACTTTAAGACACAACTCTTCGGCAGATATGTTTTATTAAATTCAGCCATGCTTTCTTTTGTAATATTTATTACTTTCTGGTGCTCTGAATGGCACACAGAGCAATACTTGACTGAAGACCAGGGCTACAGCAAAAGTTCATTTTTGTTTTGGAAAGAGAAGTCAGACAGTCTTATACCTGAGGGGTACTGATAAACCAGGCTGGTTTTGTTCTGTTGTAATATTTTAGCTTGAGCTCATAAGCTGCAAAACTATGAAAGTAACTCTGATCCAAAAAAGCAAGGTTTTACCCAATCTCCTATACAAACCCTCAGAAATATGAAGGAATCAAAAGCAAAAAATAAACCTTTTTGAATTAATTTAAAAAAGAGTAACTGTTTGATTTTTAAAACTGTTGAAAATGATTGTCTCACACAATTCACTAACACTAACACCCAGCCCGGATACTGTAGAGAATGACAGTCTTTTGGTGGCCCAGCTGTGGTTTGCCAGAGGTGGTCCACGCATGGGTCAGCACCAAATAAACCATCATTGCCAGACCTGGCCCACTGTTGTGCCGGCTTGATACCAAATCTGGCCCACATGTGGAATGTCCTTAAAATTTGGGTCACAAAGATCAAAGTAGAGCACTCAAAAAAATTTATATAGTTTTTATGACAAGTGGTGGTAATGGCAAAAAGTTAATGAAATCATTCTGTTAGTTTAGAATAAATTAATTTTGGTCTCATCAATAAAGCACCCCTTCACAAACAAACAAACAAACAAACAAACAAACAAACAAACAAACAAACAAACAAACAAACAAACAAACAAACAAACAAACAAACAAACAAACAAATATTCTGAGAAAGTAAAAAAAAAAACAAGTAGGAAAATGAAACTTGCTCTAAACAGGAACCAGGAGAAAAACTGGCTCAGAGAAAACAAACATCTCAATGAACCAGCTGGTCACAACTCAACAACTGAATTTAAAACATTCTTCAAACATCGGACACGTGACTTAAACACATATCATGCAAAATCCACTTTTTCTTTAAATACATTTTGTTATGAACTTAGAGTCTCCAGGAGTACAGAAAACATTAATTTAGTCTTTCCCTGTTCTGCGTAGATATCTTTTTTTCTTTTATTTTTTGGTCATACTGTATTTTTTACCCAGTTCAGTTTTCGATGAACTATTATGCCACAGTATTTGCGACGGAACTTCTAAATAAAGTCTGGACTTACCAACTACAATTTTTTTGTCTTCATTCTCCTCTGGCTCTGGGTCAGACTCTGGCTCCAACATATAAGGCTGGATGAACAAGTCTTCCTTTGCTCACATCTTTTAATTAATTTGTAAACACAATTATTTGTGCTGATATGACTGTAAACCCCTTTGTAATGGACTGCTCTGGAAGCTGGAAGGAGGTGGAGGGTAAAAAGGCTTGTTTGAATTTAAAGAGACAGCCTTAAAACAAGTTGATCTGAGAAACACCTCAGGAAAAGGGGTGAAAGAAGGGCTTGTGGAGTTACAATAAGGAGAAATTCAGGCCGAAGCATTGCAGTTCCACTTTATGTAGACCCCAACTGAATGATTTAAATGTGAAGAAGGATTTAAAAGAATGAAACCTTTGGTAGATTTATTGCATGTTTGCTGAAGCCTCATTAGAAAACGTAAGGGGTGGGGGAGGCTAGCAGGAAGCCTCTTTTTGTAAACAGGAACTAGAAAGGATGAGGTTCTGTGTGAAAACCAGAAGCAACAGTTTTTATGGAGTGATGCATTATATCAGTGGTTCCCAACCCTGGTCCTCAAGGACCTCTATCCAGCATGTTTTACTTGTTTCCCTGCTATTCAGCAGGTCTTCAGAAGATTGTTAATCACTCATTCATTCAAACCAGGTGTGTCAAATCAGGGAAACATCTAAACATGCAGGAAAGGAGTCCTTGAGGACCAGGGTTGAGAATCACTGCTTTAATACATGTTATCTGATTTATTATTTACAAATAAATGGCAAAGAATCAATGGCTTCCAGAGACAACACTAAAAACATAAAACTAAGTCAATATTATATTTTGAAAATGTCTCATCAAGCTCAGAGAAGCTCTTGAGGTGTTGGTCAACATTTAAAGCTGTGACTTTTAGATGTTTCCCTGATTTAACACACCTGGTTTGAATGAATGTGTGATTAACAATCTTCTGAAGACCTGCTGAATAGCAGGGAAACAAGTACAACATGCAGGATAGGGGTCCTCGAGGACCAGGGTTGGGAACCACTGCATTATATGGTCAGGCCAACAGGAGTAATTTACTTATTGAACTAAATCTGACACAAATGTCAAATAATGTGCACTGTACTTTTTAAATAGATAAGTGAAATGAAATATAATATGAAATCAAATTTAGTGTCTTTAAGGCTCCAAACATCAAAATGACATGGTCTGAGACTGCAGTTCAGCCACTGGTGATTTGAAATTGATACGACTTGACAAAAACATAACAGAAAAATACCACTGGTGTCAATCCAGTATTCAGTTTGTCTCTTAACAACAGCATTTTCCTCTTTCAACACATCATATGTGCTTCACCTGTGAGAAAATGGTTTATTTAGGAGAAGTTATCAGCTCAGAAACAGGTCTTTGCTTCAGAAGTTTATCTTTTGTATCGATGCCATAGATGCTGTTTGACAGCAGCCATGTGCAGATGAAAGGCCAGTGCTTGCTGCAGATTTGTACCCTTGAGCTGACACGGTTATTAAAAAATGGACAGTTCATACAAGCTTTTTAGAGCTTAACAGGACACGAGCTCAGGGGGATTATCCAGCAGCTGCTGGAGGCTACAGAAGAACGCAGAAATTAACCTCTGCAAGTGAGAGAGACATTGAACGAAAACCTCGCTGTCATTCGGTT